TATAAAATTTTTAAAGTAAAATTGAAAAATTCTTTACTTTGAAATTTAACAATTTTCAATCAAAGCTTTGATTTTGCAATAATTTTATGAATATTCCATTCCCAATAATTTCTTTTAAAAGTGTTCATTACTACATTTTGTATTTATTTTCAATTCATATCGTTGATAACAATTCACAAAGAGGAAAAAAAAAACAGGAATAAAAAGTTGTTTTTCATTTGAGAAGAAGAAATTAGGAATTTTGTGAACTAAAATGTTTTATCATTTGTGGAAAATTTGTCAGATATTTTTTATTGGGTTTTTGATTGAAATTATTATATTAAAAACTCTTTTAAAAGTTACATGCTGCAACTGATTTTGTATAGAATTAGTATTCATAAGAGATCTTCAAGATAGTTTAAGGTTTGTTCAGAGAAATGAAACTGATTAATCAGGTTTTGATAGCTTTTAAACATTTAGATCAATTCTGAAACCTTGCATTTGTTGCTATTTTGAGAAATATTGGAATCTAATTTGTCAAAAACAAATCATATTGTTTGGAAAGTGATATCGGTGAGGGAAGGATCAATTGAATTATAAACTTCCTGTTTCCTTTTATAATTCGTTCACTTAATATGTCCATAAACTGAGGTATTAGAGATATTTGACTCTGTAATTGAGTTTAGATTCTAAAGCTTAAAAATCCCAAATAAATTCGGAATTTTAATATTTTCCAAATATTTTCCATTACAATTCAAAACAATATTTCAGTTTAAATTTCACAAAAAAGTTCAAAATTTGACCTAAATTCCTAATTTGTACAAATATCTCCTCAATCATCTAAAACAATAAATTTTAACAATTATTCAAAAATGTCAAAAAACACCAATAAATCTTTGATTCTGACATAATTTCACCCCAAAGTGATAAACAACAATTTTTTTATTCTATTTTACTCAGTGATGAATAAAAGTAAGGAACATTCTAATTTGCAGAAGAGTAATTTTATGTATACAAAAAAAAAGTGAAATAAAATAAAAAAGAAAGTTTTTTTGCTTTGATTCTTTGAAAGGAAATAAAGATAAGACAGATGTGGATAGAAAAACAAAGTTTCTATGTGATTTTTATTTATTTTTTTTCATTATTCAGATATATCGAAATTAAAATGAAGTGAAAAATAAAATATTTTGAGTGGAAATATATATTTTTTGTGGAGTTTGAGCTATTTTGCTGTGTGTGTGAGAGAGTTTATAATATTAAAATATTTATAAGTTTCTGTAACAAGACAGAGATATATAGTGACAGAAAGAGATATAATCAAGTTGATTGTGAGAAAAGAAAAATGTGAAAGCTTTTTTGTGGTGATTTTTCATCTATTTAACTTTTTTTTTGGTTAAAACTTCGAAACATCATGTTTAGTGAAAAAAAGTTATGGTTCTGGTAAGAAAAAAACATGGAAAGGAAATGATAAAGTAGGGAAGTGTATCATCAAATATTTTTCATACTTTTCTACATGATTTAATGGAAAAGTTTTCTGCAGAAATCTTCATAAAAAAATATCTTGGAAGTTTTAATAGCTGTGAGCAAATCCGTGTATGCTCTTCATTTTTTAGCACTATTTTGAGCATTATTATATGTTTTGATGTTAAGTTTGTTTTTTTGGTTCAACAGAATGACGGAAAAATTTCATTATATTCTAATCTTTTCATTTTTTAAGTTCCAAAACTATCTAAATGAACTCTTGCCACCTTATAGATTCTGTAATGATGAACAGATTTACACAAAACCTTATAATTGTCAATTTGTTTGAAAATTAAATTTCGAGGTGAGAAAAAAATCCACCATTTTGAATTTTTTCTTTTTTTCAAATTTTTATGAACCGTTGTAAAAATCTTTTTTAAATCTTCAATAGAAGTTAAGAATATCATCTCATTTACTAAATACATTTCAATTGTAATCTTTTTCTCCCCCTTTTTTTCAAAGATGCGCTCAATAAAATTTTCTAATTTTCCTATCGTCAAATTCCCCTCAACTTTTCCTCCTAGGTGAGCAACGAATGTGAAGTTATAAAACCATAACTTCATCATGCATGTCTATTACTCTTACAATATTCTACATACAGCTGTAAAATCTTCATTTATGTGCATCACGCTACTGTTATAGACATCTAAAAGCATACTCAAAACGGCACTAAAATTAAATCAAATAAAACTTTTTTCTTCGTTTTTCTCGTCGCTGTTATTTTATGGAAAATAGCATCAGTTGAATAGGAAACTTTTATTTGACTTTTAGAGACGATGATGTTAAAATCGGAAGTTGTTACTATCGCTGGAATTTTGTCGTGGGGAAAATTAGATTGGGTTGGAATTTCTTCAGGCTTTAGGTTGAGTTTTTTGGAATATTTTAAGAAATTTTGAAGGTTTCAAACCAGATTTTTTATTTTTATTCGAGCGAATGCTGAGGAAAGTATTATTTTTGGTAACTTGCCAAACTAGAAATTGATTGAGACTGCTCAAACCCTTAAATCACCTAACCCTATATTAACAACATTTACTTCTCCCCTGTTTCCAACAAAAAAATTCTTTCAGCCTTTGAATTATTTACGATAGAAAATAGACGGTCATATCAGCTCCTCTCTAGTGTAATATAACATAAGGCAATAATTTCATTCAAATGTAGAAAGAAACTTTCATTGATTTGTGCCTTGAATGTCTCTTATTCTTATTGAATGAGCGTTAAGATTTATTGCTGGTAATATTATTGATTCATGAAAAATTTATCACTAAAATGTAATTTAGTTGAATGTAAATAATGAAAGGAGAAGTTTAGTTTCATTTGTTCTGAACAATCTTTCAATTTCTTTCTCATAATTTAGTTCAAAATAAGAAATTTTTATTAAATTTGACTTTAATCAGAAAATGAGGAAAAAAATAAGAAAAATGAGACAGAATTAAATTAAATTTTGCAGCCACTGACTGTGATATTTCCTTTATCTATGTCACCTCCTGTCTAAAAGATCAACTGATTCTCCTCACATTTCAGTACATGAAATAAGCACGAAGACGGTAGAAGAAGACAATAAGAGACTGAAAAAGATTACAATCATGCTTCAAATATTGACATGAACATTGAGCAGAAGTAAGGAAAATTCCATTGAGATCGTCTCTTTACTTCCATTTTCAAGACATTTTCATGAAAATCTCATGGATTACAATGTAAATATTAGTTCTACAAATTCCAAAAATCTTATTTATGCTACATCATTAAATATCAATTTATCTCATTTTTGAATATATTTTATTCATAATCACGGAACTAAGACGAAGATTTTTTTTTTGTGTAAGGCACTCATTTACTATTCATAAGCTGTAGTGTAAATGATGCTGACTAATTAGCTTCTTTATGTGTTTCAGAAAATTTCTGCAGGAAAACTTTTTTCCACTTTTAGTTTATTTTTTATTAAACTTGTTCGAGTGTTCCTGATTTGTGATTAAGGTTAAAAATTGCTATTAGAGAATGGATTGAAGTGGTGAGGGGGAAATTACTTTTTGAGAAGAATGTTTATTTTTTAAATGAATGAGCTTTAGCTGCTTGAGAAGTTTACTTTAATGTGTTTTCTTGGGACTTAATGAGGTGGAAAGATTTTTTGGCGTGGCACTGAAAATCTTATTGATGTTTGAAGAAGACTTAGAATGTTTGGTAAAATGACATTAGTGACCTAATTTACAATTTTGAAAAGTTGAGTGAATGAGATTGAAAATTCAAAAATAAGGTATTATTGTCGAGTTGAGGATTGATTGAAGAGCCAGAGTGTCAAATTGGAATGTAATCTGGGGTAGCGAGCAACATATAGGCAAATCTGCCAGTATGAGTGTAAAGCCTTTGTGGCTGGAGTGGGTAGACAACAGGCACGATATCTTTCTGTGAGAACGTGGGTTCGATTCCCAGCAACAGAGTCAGATCGAAAGCCTTTTGTTGTATCCTAAGTTACACATAGGAGCATAGCTACAGTAAGTAAGGAAGTAAGATTTGAGCGATTAGAGTTTTACAATCGCATTTTAGAGGGCATAGATAGAAACTAGGATCATCTAAGATTCTCATTAAAGCTTCATATAACTTTTGAGATATTGAACCTCTGATTTTCACCGAATTCTTCTCATTTTAGGTATCATTTAAGTAAGTTTCCCCCTAATTCCAAAATATATAAACAGAGAAAGCAGAATTATTCAAGAATATAGCAATAGTGATCATCTGATAATGAAAAGTGATTAGTGTATAGAGTATAGAGAAGGAAAATGAGTGGATATTGTGTAGTGGATTAAGAAGAATCAGAATAAGATCGATGAATGAATGATAATGATAGAAAGAGAGAGTAAGAAAGGGTCAAGAATGCAATTTAGAAACTAGAAGTGTGTAAATCTTCACAACTTGATTCAAGAATCATAAATCATAATCGAGATAGATTTTTCTGCTTACGTCTTAAATTATTAGAGATAGATATAGAAGGAAAATAATGAAAAATCTTAGAATAAGAAAAGGAGAGAAAAATTGATGATTAATGTGTTTTTCATATCATTTTCTCATATTTTGCTGTAAATTTTTTAATTTTTTATTTTTAAATTATTTTAATTGTTGGTTAAATCATCAATTTAAGTTCATTTATTTTATGGCCTTCCTTTAATTAATAACCAATTATATCATCAATAGACCCACTTAAAATCTACAATAATAAATTATTGAACTGGAAATGAACCCAAAATTATGCTGATAATATGAAATATACATAAATTTTGTATATATAGGATATAATTAAAATAAAGGATGGTGATGATGATTAATGGTTCAATTAAACATTGTTCAATGGTCTTTCTTTGTTCAAAAGAATTTAAAAAAATTTCTTTCTGTATTTAAACAAAAAATTCTGTCCTTTTTTAAAAATAAAAAAATCATTTCGTGTTTAAAAAGATGAAAATGTCAAATCAAATCGAAAAAAAAATAATGAAAGGAAGAGTCAAACTCACCTGAATATAAAAATGAAGAGAATCAATAACGAGAAGAATATAGCGACATTGTCCATCGTTCGCAGCATGACAAAAAGTTGTCGCCGTAGGTTTGGCATAAATCGAACTAATTTGAGTATTCGAAGCAGACGAAATGTTCTCAATACAGACAGTCCCGAATTCGATGAGGGACCTTCATTTATAAATGCTTGACACAATTCCACGGCACTGTGAAGATGAAAAAAAAATTGATGATGAAAATTGAGAATGTTAAGATAAGAATTTGTGTTAATATCAATATCAAACACACCACCATTCATGACTGTAAATATATACACAATCTTCCATAGATCCTGATTCAACAATAAATATCATTACTAAACGATAGCAAAAAAAATGAGTGGAGGGAGGATGTATAAGAAGAAAAAGCAGAGAAAAAAAGTAACGCGGCGCCAGAAAGATATCCAATGTCATTTTAAGTATAGGGGAAAATGATGGTAGTAAAGTGAGGTAGTAAGATGATGTTGGGTTATTGCTGGGACTTGAGACGCATTTTTCAAGAATTTCTAGGTTAGAGTCTTCAATGGTACGGTCACAAGTGGAATCTGAAAGTTACTTCACCCCTAAATCAAATGAGTCTTTCATAAACGTCTAGTACAGAATGCATCAGTGCAACTCTAAAGTCATCACTACATTACGCAACAATGTAGCATCCCCAAAGTAACAAAATGAAAAAAAGTTCTCCAGTCACATCGCTGATTATAGCTTTGTAGTAAGCAAAAGAGAAAGTTTCTTATCTGTTATTGCCACTGGATATTAAATGCTATCATCTTCTACTCCGTTAACTTTTTTTTGTCGATTCAGCGGTTATTAGCAATGTGAATATATTATATGAAAATTTGCTACAACTGCATGCATCATGTGCTTTAACTATCGTTGATTATGAACAGCTGATTGTGAAGATATCTTGTGTCTCTCGCCTTGGTGGTTGTATAGTGAGTTGTGAATGGATATTAGTGATGGGAATTTATGGATTATTATAATCAGAATGTGTTTAAGTTGGGGATTTGAAGTAGGATGTAGATATTATCAGGAAACGTATTGGTTGGATAATACTTAAGATGCTGTTTGGAGCAGGAAATAATTTAAGTTGGTATTTTGCTCAGCTGCTTGACAACATCCAATAACTTGCGATAGCTCAGTGGTAAGAGCATGGAATAAGAAATCGTAAGGACCCGGGTTCGATTCTCGCTCAAGACAAAATATTGAAATATTTAAAAAAAATTAATTTTGAGGTTAGGATCATCACTAGAACTACTTAAAGGGGAGGAATCGATATCTTGACATGATGCTTTACAATTAGCCATTACGCAAGCTAGATTCTACATTGTAGTGACCAGCAACCATCTAAAACTCATCTACATCAAAAAAAAAAACTCCCGCTCAATTTACATCATATTATCATCACTTCCACTTAAAATCACATCCACCCATTTTTCCCCATCAAAAGTCAACCTCCATTAAACAAGAGGCAGATAAAAAAAGATAATTAACACTATCCCAACCCAATATCTATTATAAAGGTCTTCCCATTAACCACACTCTCACATTCAATTAAACTCACCTCAAGATCACGATAACTCCATCAAACACATTAAAACCATTTGAAATATATTTGAATGGTCCTTCTGCAATTATCTTTAAGAGCATCTCGACAGCAAATATTCCTGAAAATACGATATTGCTCGTTTCAACAATGGCTGTCAACTCTTCAGGCTGATTATGATACTCGATGCCCATCGAAAGTGTGTTAATTAAAATAGCTAGTAGAATGCCTTGCTGAAAGTATTTATGATCAACAAGACGCTTAATGTACTTTCGTATGAAATGAAATATTTTTGATATCACTTTGTAGCACGTTATACATGCATAATAAGCACGCGATTTTTGACGCTCTAAATCTTCACTTGATTGATGCAATTGATGCTGATGATACTCTTGTGCGGCATAATCGAAATTTTGTTGATATAATTCATAACAACATGAATAGTCTTCGACCTGTGTTGTTGGTGTAAAGTCATTATTAATATTATTATTATTGTTGTGATTATTATTGTTATTTCTTGTGAGTGTTGAATAGAATGAATCGAGGGTTGTTTGACCCGTCGGCAGGGCAGCTGAGAAGGCAACTGATAATGCCAACAATTCCTGGCATGTCATGGCGTCAGTAAGATTGAGATCGGAATAGTCATTGAGATTGTTTGTGACTGAGTTGATTGTATTATTGTGTGGTAAATTGACCTGCAAATTGAATACGGAATAAGTGATAAAAAATATTATATTTTTTTTGGGGGTGAATGTATTTTTGTTTATAGATATCACCAGTTGATAATGTTGATGATGATGAGGTTGGTAACTTAATATTCGTGACTAAAAGCTATTTTACTGATGTCGTTTATAGAAAAATTTCTTCTATTTCTTTTTTGAGATAGAATGTCGCTTTTATTTATAGTTCCTTCTGTTTTGACTTTATTGTCTTCTTTCTTTTGTGCTTTTGTTTCTTTTTTTTTATTTATATAAGGCTTTTTTGACGCGGCTTTGAATGGAAATTTGAGCAAAATTGATTCAATTTATAATTATTTGATACTTTTTAATGGTTTTAAGTGTCAAATGTATTTCAGGAGCTCATGAGTTCTGGTTGCTTGAATATAAGGAGACTATAGGATGCCTCAAGACAATAGAAATTAGCATTTCTATTATTTAATACAGAGATCAACCCTATCCTTTTAACCAAGCCAAAGATTTACGCCCCTGAACTTTAGTATCCCAAATAAAAGAAAAATATAACAAAATGTCAAAAATCGATTCAAAAACTTACTACAAAGTAAGTCATCCTTAATCAATGAAACTTTATCTATAAAATCTTAATCCCAATTTTACATTTGATGTGGCTTCTTTGTTAAAAACTTTATCAAAAAGGAAGAGGAATAGTAAAAGGAAAATGAGGCTTTGTGGTTTCCTTTTGGTCTTTAGATTAGCATTATACATATTAATGAGTCATGTTCCATTACATTTTTATTTAAATTGTTACTAAGTTAACAGCATAAAATAAAATATGTTCTGGTTGTGCTTAAATAATGAATTTAATTTATGGTACGAATTTACATTTTTACGAATGCTTGTCATGTACCTATACACCATCTGTAAACCACAATTATCTCTACGGAAATGTAACAATTGAAGGAAAAAGATTTTTCAGAACGGAAATTCTGCAAAGACTTGGACTTCAAATGTTCAGTTTTTCTTTGTTGTAAAAATGCTGTCTGGAGATTTTTATCAATCTTTTGTATATTTTTTTGTGGTCGACTTTTATGTAACTTTTGCCATCTTTTTCTATTGGACAAATTAATTTCTATCACGACAACTTGTGTCAAGGACTCAATAAAATTGAAATATTCTTTGATGTGGTGAATTGAAAAAAGTACAGAATAGCTGATGACATTGAAGACAAAGTTTTGGAAAGAATAATAGCTTTTCTTTCATTTTTATTGGATTTTTTTATTATTGGTGTTTGAATGATGTTTATGGTAGAAGAATTGAAGTTAATATTGTGTTGATGAAGCTTTAAAATTGCTGGGAAATCAGTCATCATTGACTTGGATGAGGCAAATGATTTTTAAATTTTATGTAAAAATCGAATCTATTGAAGTTTAAAATTATTAAACATCAAAAAAGTCGTTGAAAGCTGTCTCTAAGAACTTTAAAGCTCAAAAATATCAAATTTATGACATATTTATCCAAATCAAGTCAAGAAAGTGTCTGTCTTTATAGAAATTCTCAACAATCTACAAAAGCTCCTTAACCACAACCTCCCGTACTCATTTTTATCCATTATAATTTCTTATTTCCATCCAGCAAGCACGAGGAAATAAATTTCTATTCAAATTGATCTGGTGGATTTTGCGACATCCATTTATAAAGCTTTAAACTCACTCAATTTGTTTCTACAAAATTTAGTCATTTAATTTTCAAGTCACTTCGCCCATCACCATCAATTGTGAGATTTAAGGAATGCATAAAAAATACAGTGGATATAGATACTTACTTGCCATATGCCTCCTTCACCCGTTTGTGTCATTTTCTCAACTGATAATGTATTCTTGTCATTTTGCGGCTCAATTTTGGGCGGGGTGTGTAAGATAACAAATTCATTAAACATAACAGACGATCCACGTCTTCGCGTTGATGTTGGCGGACTCAACAAGCTGGAACTGGCTGAATTCTAAAGAAAGAAGCAACAAAAAAATTGAAGGTCAAAAATGTTTTATTAAAAATTTTTCTGTGGATGAAGTGAGTAAACAAATTGGAAAATTAAATTTGCTACATGATGTGTATTTAAAGTCCCTTAATACTACAAAGTTTGTCAACTCGGTGGTTGTATGCTTACATGTTGCTGCTGCTACTATTTACTCTTTTCAAATAGGAGACATGAGAATGCAAAAAATATGGAATAAAAGTTCGGAAATGCTTGTATGTGATTGGTTTGGGGAGCATTTGGAGCAGTATTGGATCGAATAGGATGTTATGGCCTTGAATATGGTGACCTGGTTAGAGCTTGCAGTTTTTATAGGAACAAGCTAATGAGCTCGAACCAAAAGACTAAATTAAAAGAAAAACGAGCGACTTACAACTTAAAGAGGATTCCCTAATCAAGGACACTAAAACTCTAGCCCTGATTTGAAGTGTTCCCAAATTTGGTATTGAATTCTAAGTCCATAATCTACCCGAAACAATAAGACCTAATAAATTTAATGAAAACCGGGCTACATCCCAAGGCAACCACAGCCAAGACAAAATATTGACATAACCTCATTCTATCCTCAACAAATGCTTAAAAAGGATCGTTTGCTTTAGGATTTTTTTTATGGAAGTGGAAAAAAACTGAAAGGAGCAAGTCGTGTAAGCGAAAAAAAAATGTAAAAATGCTATGATGAATGAAAGAAAAAACCAACTTTGAGCACACATCACAAATGTTGATATTTTTTTTCATCATGCATTTATTTATACGATTAACAATAGTCGTAGCATAAAAGGGCACTCACGTTTCCATAATCGTTGTCAACTCCAGAAGCAACAGTTGAGGCAGCAGCAGCAGCAGCTATTGAATTGTTTGCTATTTTAAGTAATAACATTTTTTGCTTCTCATCCATTGTCGCACTTAATGTATTATTTAACGATTGTATTTCCGAGTTATCTGACAGTATATCATCATGATTGTTATTGCTATTGTTCAACGGTGCTGATTGTATGCTGTTCAATTGATTATTTTGTTCTTGAAGGTTCGTAAGTTTATTGACAGAACCACCGCTGTTACAATGATTGCTCAACAATTTTGGACATTTTGGATGATGACATCGAATTTTTTGCGGTGAAAAGAGATTCTCAGGTGTTCGTGGCAATAAGCCTTCCTTACGTTGCTGATATTGGTATCTGAATTGGATATAAATTGGCACGGATGAGAAAGCAAAAAAGAAAGAAAATTATTGCAAGCGTTGAAAGGTTTGATAAAAATTTCATTTTATAGTCTTTTTTTTGTGAGATATTTACACTGTTGGAAGTATTTTTGGATCTAGAAGGAAGTAAACATTTGGTATACAAGAAAGCGTGAATAGAATAAAATTGGAACGAGAAAAACAAAGCTTACTTAAATAATGATTGAAAATTTATCAAGGGTGGGTTGGTTTTAAATGTGGGATTTTAGAATATTGATGAATCTTGTTTGTTTAACTAAGATTAGCTTTTCTTGGTTCAACTAAGATTAGCTCTTCTTGGTTCAACTAAGATTAGCTCTTCTTGGTTCAACTTAGATTAGTTCTTCTTGGTTCAACTAAGACTAGTTCTTCTTGGTTCAACTTAGATTAGCTTTTCTTGGTTCAACTTAGATTAGCTCTTCATGGTTCAACGTAGATTAGCTCTTCTTGGTTCAACTTAGATTAGCTCTTCTTGGTTCAACTTAGATTAGTTCTTCTTGGTTCAACTAAGACTAGTTCTTCTTGGTTCAACTAAGATGAGCTCTTCTAAGTTCAACTTAGATTAGCTCTTCTTGGTTAAACTTAGATTAGCTTTAGCTTTTCTTGATTTAATCCAGACCACTTTAAAAGCTTTCATCCCTTGATATTAACCAAAAAATAAATAAAATTCACCAAAAAAATTGTTCTCCACAAAAAAAGTTCAACAAAATTTGCTTACTATCTCTAGCTAACATAACTTAATTATATAATTGTATCTTCCATCGTAACTTCTAATTATAAAAAATTGCATTTATTTTTTCCAACAGTGAATTTTCTCTATAAAAATTATTTTATTAATATTATTACGAGGAAGAAGAACGAGAAACTTTAATAATTGTTTTTTTGGTAGAAAAGTATTAAACATGACCATGCTTATAAGCGTATATACAAATTTTTCTGATTGGCGTAACCAAAAAATATTTTAGAATTTTTTTAAAAAGAAATAAAAACAAAATAACTTAATGAATCTTAATTTCATTACATAAATTAAAAATAACAAGACAGAAGAAGAGAGTGAAAATAAATACAAGAGAAAATTAAGAACAGACGTGTATAAGAAGGATAAAATTTTGTAATAGGAAAATCATAACTGTGCATAATACAATAATTAAGAGAGATTTTTCAATTATCTAGCTGATGAATTTCGGAGAACAATATTATTATGCAAATTTGGTGGATTAACTGTAGTAAGATTGTACACACGGGATAAATTATGTAAGCACATCTTCAGCTTGAAATTATGGGAGATGAAGTTTATTAAAATTCATCATGCATAGTCTTCTATTAGAGTGGATTCAACAATGATTCGATTACATCAAGTGTTTACAGGTGTTTTAGAGGTCTAGTCCTTACCCCAAAGAGATACTTTGTTAAATTTTAAACTCAAAACTTTTTATAAATTTTTGTTTTTAAAAAGCTCACATTTTGTCAAAAAGCTCCCATTATGTAAACAAGTCTAGTTTTATCAAAAGTTGGAAAATTTAACGTCATCAAAACTTTTGATATATTTTGGATTTTGAAAAAGCTCACGTTTTGTCAAAAAGCTCACATTTTGTCAAAAAGCTCACATTTTGTCAAAAAGCTCACGTTTTATCAAAAAGCTCACGTTTTATCAAAAAGCTCAGCTTTTGGTAAATTCGCACGTTTTGTTGAAAATTCCAATTTAAACTTTTGAAAAATAATCTCACAAATAAATCAATAAAGCTCTCTTCCACATCCTTTAAGACGATTACATTCGAGATCACATTGAAAACAATATTGAGTACCACAGATGTGGAAATTGATTACTCAAGTATTTTCATCAACAGCTTCTTCGCAATAAAACAATAAAAACTCAACGAGCTTTCAATAAACTTGCACAAAGTGTACTCATATCCACCCTTATTTCTACATAACAGTAATTTTAATTAATTTAAATCAATAGAAAATTTTAATTGCAAATTTTGATCATGTTTGAATAAATTTTCAATTAGAAAATTGGTTTTGTACAACCCGTACATGAGTTTTACATCTGAACGAAAATTGAATAATCAAACATAATGTCAGTTCCATTACATGAACCAGCATAATCTTGTGATAATATAATTGCCTCTCTACAATATCTAATTAATGTAAGCATCAGGTAAAGGGGGGGGGGGTCGTTTATAAATGACGTCTAACTTTACGAAACTTTCAGACTCTAGAATTTTATAAACAAAGTTTTATTGTGACTGGGGTAGGGAAAGCGGATGAAAAATCTATAAAGGCCCTCTCGATCCTGCTTTTCGACCCCTTTGACCTCATTTATAACAAACCCTCGTTAAATAGAATATGTAAATTTAAATATGCTGTGAATTGATCCGTAGATTGTAATCCATGCATGTTTAGGCATATTAAAGAACGTGGCTGGGTGGAACTCATTTAAATTTATAAAATGAAATAATTACTGAATGGATGTCTACCTCAGACCCCAAAAAAAGGAAAAGTCATATGAAGAGAGCTTAAAACCATTAAATTTGATGTTATAAACTTTTTGTGCTCTCAACATGATACAATACAATGTTTATATCCAGGAGAAACCAACATGTAACATTTTTTTTGCTGTTCCTCAAGAAAAAGAGAAAGTTTTTTGCTCTCTGTGCTTTTTCTGGTGTAGAACATCTCATGTTTCCTTGTACTATATACACATAATAATGAGTCTCTATGAATATTTTAAAACAATAAATCCTCCGAAAAATGAAGATGAGATATTTGTGTTGGTACATATGATATGATATTGCTGTGGTATTATAATGTATGAGCGACTGAGCTTTAAAAAAGGAAGGATGGATTTAACACGACATAGCATCTTTTATTATTATTTTTGTTTTTTTCCCTTCTTTTCACTTTTATGGCTTGTTTTGTTTAAATTTAAATTATTCATTGCCTTTAAAGTTTGAAGTGTCTTGAAAGGGAAAAATGTTTTGGATTATGATAGGCATTCTGACAAGTTTGATGACTAGATGTCGAGGGTTTATATTGAAAATGCTTGAAAGTTTATTTTGGGGTTTTGGTTTTGGATGTTTTTAGTTTGGCTTGTGCTTTTCTTTTGGGCGGTTGAATAAATCATGGAAATTATTAAATTATATTTTAATATTTTTTTGCATCTTCTAATATTTTTATGCATCTTTAAAGAAATGTCTGCAACTCATTCGAAAATTTCTGTATCTTTTAAAATATTTCTGTATCTCTTAAATTGTTTTCAGCATCTTTCAAAATGTTTCTGCACCTTTTAATATATTTCTGCAACTTTCAAAATAATTCTGCATCTTTTAAAAAATTCTGCATCTTTAAAAATATTTTTGCATCTCTTAAAATGTTTTCTGCATATTTCAAAATAATTCTGCATCTTTTAAAAAATTCTGCATCTTTAAAAATATTTTTGCATCTTTTAAAATGTTTTTTGCACCTTTAAAAATATGTTTGCATCTTTTAAAATATTTTTGCATCTTTCAAAATATTTTTGCATCTTTTAAAATACTTTTGCATTTTTTAAAATGTTTTTTGCATCTTTCAAAATATTTTTGCATCTCTTAAAATGTTTTTTGCATCTTTCAAAATATTTCTGCATCTTTCAATTTTTTTGCACCTTTCAAAATATTTCTGCATCTTTCAAAATGTGTTTTGCATCTTTCTAAAGTTTTGACCAGTTCTCCGTATTGAAACTTGACTTCAAACGTTTTTCAAATTTAAAAAACCCTTCCTTAACGATAATTTAAAAAAATCACCAACAATATACCCCCCAAAAAACTCACAACAATAAATTTAAATGTTTACAAGTCTCCTAATATTTATTTACACTTGAGCTTATTTACTTGTAAATTGCTTTCTCATTTTGAATAACAATGTACCATAAATAATAAGTAAAATTGACATAATGATGATGATGAGCATAATTAATTAATCCTTCCTTACAAACATAATAATAACAATTATTGCTTTTGTTCAAATATCTTCAGCAATATTGATGACTAGCATCACATCCCTCACTCATAAATGGGATGAAAAAAAATTGTTTACTAAACGCAGCAACCGCATGTACAATAAATATTTGTAAAAGGCTTTAGAAAACCTACTAGAAGCACAATTTAATGGATAGAAGTATGTTTGTATAAGTATGTCGATATGCACACAACATCCACTGTTCCTACAAGTCAATTTCATCTCCCTAAAGACATTTGAATGAGTAATCATCATGACGTTGAAACAGAACGAAACTCATTAAGGCTTAGAAATTGAATTATTATCGCGGAAAATTTTAATGAATTTTCCTTGCAGTCTTGTAAAAATAAAGAAGAAGAAGGCAGATTTTGAGAATAAAGACAGGAAATTGAGGTGGAATGAGAAGGGTAAAATAACAAAAACCGAGCAAATATGCGAGCTCAGAATGACTGAAAAGAGATAGAAGAATGAATGATGAGCAGCATGAAGAGTAAAGGAGAAGGATAAACTGAAAGAATGTCTTCAAGGTAGGATTTAGAGGTTCCAAAACATAAATTGAATAATGCTATTTTGAGTTATAGCATTAAAATGAATCGTTGGTAGAGATGGTTAAGTCATTGACTTAAAATTTGGATTTGATGAATAAGAAGTGTGTGTTCGAATCCTACTATAGAAAAATTGTTTATGGATTTCATTGATAGTGTGGATATTTTTTTTATTTTTAATCATTTCTTAAAAGAGTTTCTCAAAAAATAATATTTCAAAACCTCTTATTCCATTTGGAACCTCCAAAACAAAAATATTGAAAGAAAGAGGATATGAAAGACAAACAAAACAATAAAAAACAGTAGTCGGAATTAATCATAAAGAAAAATAAAGCGTTTGGAGTTATCATCATTCATTTCATAAATTCATAGGATATATGCTTAAGTTGGAAGTAAATTAATTAATGCATTAAATAATATTAAATAAGAAACTTGTTGTCTCCAAACAGAAGAAGCAGGACAAACAAAAAAAAACTTTTCTCTTGTATCAGCTTGTGTATTTAATTTTTTAATTCAACATGTACTTAATTTTTCATCATAGCATGAGAACGTAACATAATTAAAAACATGCGAACAGGAAATTAAAAATTATTATTTTTGTAATATACTTTTTTGAGCGTTTCCAATTGTTCATGTAATTTAAAAATTTATCTAAAGCTAGTTATAGGGGAGTTTTGAATGCTTTATTAGCTGAAGAATGCAAGGATGAAGGAGGTTGGAAAAATTGCAAATCATTGATTGTTTTTGAGTTTAAACTGATTTTTAAAATTTTTTATTTGAGGAACACGACGTTCGGAATTCAAATTATGGACAAACTTTGAACACAAATGGGGGGGGGGTGCTGTTCTCAGTTTTTTTGTAAGTAAATTGAAGATATTTTGATCGAGGTAGAGCTTTTGACCAGCTTATCACCTGTATTGCCATCTGGCATGTGCCGTAGGGCTTACATGTCATGAGTTTACTTAAAGAGCGGGTGCTTGACCTACCTTAGAATCACATCTAAGAGAAGATTTTGATGTTGACCTAAAGATTTGCTCTAGATCTCCTCAAAGAATTTAAATAGGGAATCGCTGAGACTAGAGCTGTCTCTAGTGAATCAAACCAGTAGTTTTTTCAGGACAATGAGATGCTAGATACTAGGTAGCATTAAAAAATCTACATCTTACAGGACAGCTTTCTATAAAACTATTTGCAATCCTACCAACCTTACCCCTTCATCTATCTATTTATTTATGTCATTATTCCACATAACAAAGAATAGAAGTGAAGTATTGAGGATTGTTTAGAGCGATATCCTCTCATTGTATTGTCTTGTGGATCTACAACATTACTGATGAGCTTTTTCTCGTGGGAAAAACTTTGTATTTCTATATCAATCTTCTACTCGGTTTTATTCATAATTCATCTTTTTTTTTGAATAATTTTTTTCGAGCAGTGTGTGAGCGAAAAAAATATTTTCTTATTCTTTACGTGTCAGGTTTATAAATATTTTTTTTTTTTTGGTGAATGAAGAGAAGGTGGGGGGAAGAAAAAGAAAATAAAATGGAAAAATAATTAAATGAAGAAGTTCTTTCAGTCTTTTGAATTGAAATGAAAGCTCCTTTGAGTAAATATAAAAAAACGAGCACGAGATTTTTCATTTTGTTGGCGATAAGCAGCTTTCAGCTTCATGACGTAATTCTTGAGAAATTTACTACGTGTCTTATTTTGAAGTATTTTTAATTTACGTGAAATGATGTTTTTTTGTGAATTAAAATGAATTGGCATTCGATTTGGAAGAAGAGTGACTGGTGTCATGGTAATCTGAGAGGATTCCTGCTCTACCTTTTGACTTTGAAATTGATAATTAATTTTCTAAGCAAAACATCGACTTTGAAATTTAAAAATTCTAGCTTTAAACTCCACCCAGGTAACACAAGCAAATTCTCTCACAAACTATAGGAAAAATCAATATTAATTTACATTTAAGTCATTTAAAAACTTTGCTCCCAAGTCTATGTCTTCTTCATAATTAATAAGTTTTAATCTACCTGAAACTTTAACATATGAATTGAATTTTATGTTGATAGATTTTTGTTTTAATGAATGAAAAAGGTCTGGGGATGTGTCAGACGTCTGTAACTGAATAAGCTTAGAAAAGGCAGAAACTTTGTTCCTCAACGCACTCTTGAGGCAGAGTTTTTTTTTTGCTGAACGTACTTTTGAGGCAGAGATTTTTTTGTTTCTGAACGCACTCTTGAGGTTGTAATTTTGATGTTACTTGCAAACTTGAGGGGAAAAAATTATTAAACGCACTCTTGAGGCAGTGATTTTTGTTAATGAACATACTCATAAAGCAATGGATTTTTTTACTGAACGCAGTCTTGAGGCAGCTATTTTGTTATTAAATACAGCTTAAAGCAAGATTCCCTGGCACACCCATCTCAAAAAATCCAATATCCCGTTTCAAAAAAAAAAAATTCATTAGCCAAACTCCTTCCAAACAAAAGACAAACAAATAAAGAGAAATGGAAAAGTGATTGCTCGTCTCTCTTTCATTTATCTCGAAATGCAATAAATTTATCCAATTTTCATTTTCTATTTTTACACAATTTATTTTTTTGTGAGAAAAAGAAGTAGCAGAAAACGTAAAATTCAATTAGAATTTCCATGATGATAGATTATTGGATCTGAATGTAAATAGAATCATTGTTTGCTCATTTTATGCTCGATTTCAATGAAAATTTCTTCAGAATTATCTGTTCTTCTTTTTTTTTGTGAATGCGTTGGATTAAAATTGAAACCGAGGGAGCTTTCATGCTGCGAGATTTATGCCGATAATGATAATTGAACCTTTCTAAGAACGAAAACTAATTAATTTTCTTACGGATCTTAGATGAGGGTTTTTTTTTGTTTTTGGAAAGAACTTCAACATGTAGTTATCCTCTGAGTATATTGTTTAATAAAAATTAAATCTAATTAACAATTCAAGTGCATATTCAAAACAACAACACAAACGGTTATCAAATGCATACTTATACAATCGTAACTTCTTAATCAAACGGCGTTTAAGGCGTCTATAAAGATGTGCGATGTATTTAACAATCTCAGCGTAACACGTTGTTGGTTCCGAGTTGTTGGTGCTTGATGCTAATGTCGACGATGACGTAAAACGCGCCCTCTCCTGTCTCATTCGTTCCATTTCACGCTTCTTTGTTTCGGAGAATTGAGTCGCAATTACGACCAAGCACAAATTGATCATAAAAAAGGAGCCAATCTAGGGAAAAAAATTTCATAAAGTAGAATGAAAAAACAAAAAGAACTAATTAGCAGCTAATTCAATTATATCACATTTCATTAATGAATGCTCCATTTGCACATTCCATCCCACTCGTTTCACACACGCACTCATTTACATTCAGAAAACGTTCGGATTTGATGATTTTTCTTCTGCATTTTTCGGCCAAGCAATTTGATTAGATTACCCGCTTTACTGCCTGAAGAAAATAGTTATTAATTGCAATTATATGTGTAGAATATTTATAACCTTTAGAAAATTCTTGAAATATATGATGCTTATTAAAATAATTTTGATGCTGTTCTATCCTTGCCACTTTTTTCAATAAATTAGCTCAATTAAATGCTCAAAAATCAAAAAATTGATCGAATTACTGAATAAACACTTTTCGAAGTGAAGAAAAAAAATCCCACCATTTTGAAATGCAATTAAGTAATTGAATTTAAATATTAAAAACCCGTTAAATGCACAATTTATGTGTTAATAAACCATGACTATCAATTATTTTATCTGTCATTTTCCACACCAGTTCCCATTCAACAAACTTTTTCCAAAGCACAGAGGAAGAACATAGAAAGAAGATTGAGGATGGAAGCAATTTTCTTGATTTAATATTCCACTTTTTTTCCTAGCTTTGATGTAAAACGATAACGATTCATTTAAGCGAAAATTGTTAGACAAGAAGGAAAAAGGGAGAAAAGGAATTGAATTAATTTGTTTGTGAGTTCAAATGCTAGTTGAAAGGTCTGCGGTTTTTCCTCTCGGATACCGTCGACCAGACACACACATAAAGAAGCCAATAATGTACCCACAGTAAAATCAACGCAATTTTATTTACTCGTAACAGCTTTCATTTCTGTTTCTTATTATTCGAAGAAAAATATTTTGTTCTATCCCTTTTTATTTTGCTTTTGGGCTACTTCCTCATCAGATAGAACAACTTAAGTAATAATCGCTATAATTTTAGCCTCAAAAGAAATTATTTTTCTGTTCTACTTCAACCCTTTTTAATGGACTTTGCTTCCACAAATTTTGTTTCTTTTTAATAAAGAAGAAAAAACAATTTTCAGATTGTTTGTCAGATTTTTTTTTCTTTTTTAATTTGCCTATTCTTCTTCAAGGATGTAGCTAGGAGGATGGTGATGTAATAGTCTTTGTCCCCTTTTCTAATCCATGAAAATCAATTACCAACCACAATTCCTTAAGATGTAGCTTAAAGCTCTATTCCAAAATACAGGCTCCTAGTTACGCCACTGAATTATCACAAATACCATAAATTCTATGCTGACATTTTCATATCTCTATTTTTTACGTTATGCTTGTTGTAGAAATGATAAATAAAAGCCTCATCACATCCGTACACATTTAATAATACTCTAAATAAATCAATTTTATGATCTGAAATTGCCTTTTGAGTATCCAAAAAATGTGAATCATGGTTTAGTATAAATTTTTATGACTCTTTCCACAAAACTCACTGACTGAGTATAAGGTGAAGTATGTAGTGTGGTAGAAATTTGTCGGGCACGATTGTGGCATTATTTTGTACACATGATGATGTAGTTAAAGTGAAATGGTAAGTTTGGGGATGTGATTTGAGGGTTGATGGAGTATAGAGCGCATTTTTGGGTCTATAAATATTCTATCGTTTAAAATCAAAAGGGGATCTCGAAGTTGACTCCATAATGATCTAAAACTTTTTCTTCTAAATCTCTTGAAAGCTTCAAACTATTTAACTAATAAGCACCACATCGATTACTACTAAAACCGCGTAAAACTCATCCCACGACATCAATAACTCACTTCCATTCATAAATTATTCCACTCGGACCATTAAAAATTGAAAGAAAATCCCATTCTTATCTCAAATTCAATAATTTCATTCAAATCTTTCGCCAAACTTTATAATCCCGCTGTTCAAAGAAGCTCCCCAAAGCTACAACAAAAAGATTTCTGAATGAATTTATCGTACAATAAGAAATTTTTCTTCACAGTTTCATGCCAAAAGAAGAAATCAATATTAGCTCTATAATGTACAAACACAGAAGTCTCTTTCCTGTCAGCATAAATGACACCCAGACAAAACATTTACAAGACTTTGCTTTTTCTGACTTAAAATAATCGTGATAACAAGAAGAAAAATAAAATTTATGCACTTCCAGGTTTTTATTATTGAAATTTTTTTTATATTGTTACGTATGACATATTTTTTGTGGTGCAAGGATAGTTTTTATGGGAGGGAAATTTATGTCTTGTACATAATTGTTTTTCTAAACCAAAGAACATTATCATTAGAACATGTGTGTGCTTACGGTGTCGTTAAAGGGAAGCAGTAATGTTGTGGGACATTACTGGGATGAAAATTGAGAAAATTTTGAAACGTTTATTGTGAGGAGTAGGAAGCATGTGATTGTTATGGATTCTTTTCATGAATTTATGAAGCTTAATTGTATTTTAAAATTGTTTAAATGATAAAGAGTCAGTAGAATTATGTTCTAGACTCTAGTAAGAATTTTTGAACTTACTAGCATATTATTTGACTAAATTAAGCATTATTCAGCAATATTCAGCTAGATTTAGCAATATTCGGCTAGATTCAGCTAGATTCAGCAATATTCAGCTAGAATAAGCAATATTCAACAATATTCAGCTAAATTCATCAATATTCAGTTAAATTCAACCATGTAGATCAATTATCAATATTATTCAGCTGAATTCAGCTCTCTACGAGTGAATTCAGTATTTCACAGCTGAATAAGTTGTATGAAGCTGAATTCAACAATATTTAGCTCTATCAAGCTGAGTGCAGAGTAAATCAGTCACAGAATTGCCCAAAACCTCAGAATCTATTCTGTACTCTCAAAATTCCAAAACATCACATTAATATCGAGCATATTAATGCAAAATTAATGCTCAACTAAACATAATCTCATTGATATACAGGTAATTTATCTTCCATTTCATTTCTTCGTTTGCCATTAATGTCCTTTTACATTAAATTCTTCTAATCCTCTCACATTAGATAATCGTTGAAGTTTATGAGATAATGATAGCGTGAATGTAGCAATTTATTTTCGCCCAAAATTACACGAATTGGCAGCAACAGTAAGAAAAAGAAATCGTAAATCGTAAATCTTCTCATACATTCCATTCATCTATTAAACCAATTTATTCCGACAGAAACACAAAAAAATATTGGATGTACAACTTACCACAATCAATAAAACAAAATAGATCCAATCCCAAAAACTATGAGCATCCTGAACATAATACATTATGTCCGTCCATCCTTCCAATGATATGACCTGTTAGTGGAATAAATTTACAAATTCAATTTTTATTGAGATTTATATTCTAATTTCATCAAATGTATCTAGGTTTAGTGCCTTCATGGGCAATGCTATCAATTGCAGAGCTGACGTATCGGTGAAGACAAGTTTTGATATTGGAACTTTTATGCAGGATTGATTGTAAAGTTTGATAGTTTACATGACAACTTTTGATTTATAGATTGAATGGGATATGTGCAGACGTAGATATTGTTTATAGCTTTGTCAAGAGTTTATCAAAATGTCATGTTGACGACTGCTTTAAATTAAAGATATTTATCGTATTAAGTTTAGAATAATGAAAGGTAAAATTGACAACTTGTGATTATTTATTGTTGAATATTACAGGAGTGAGTGATTTAAATGAATGATTGCACAACCTAGGGATGATTTAAGGATATAGTATAGCAATAGGTATAATTAAAACCTGTAACTTCCAATCTAGGTAGCCCATATAAACTTCGTTTTAACCTTAAATAGCTTCGTCGCATAAAGACTAGCTTTGTTGAATCTATACTAGCTTCGTTGCTACCGAGATTAGCTTCTTGGTGTTTTGCTTAAGGATACTTTTATACTCTTACACTAAACTTGTTGTTATAGACTTAACTTTAAAGTTTAGCTAGAAAACTGGTTCAGAGAATCAAACTCAAGACTATTTGCATATAAACCAAGCTTTTCTACCATTCAGATCTATCAATTTAATAAAGACTAGCTTCAAGGAGTATACAACTCTAATCAACTTGAAATACAATCTAGAACCAACTCAACCTAGACAATCATCAAAGAAAATCCAACAGCCAACTCTGCAAAGTGATAAAGGAGCTTATATCTCTTCCGAAAGCACAAAATCCCATTACAGAAAATTAAAAAAGCTCTTTCTCATTCTGATAAATGTAAAAATAAAAAATGTTAAATTGTACGAGAAAAAAAAATGTAAAGCAATAATTACAAGAAATATCGCCACCCATGCTAAGCCTATATTATCAAATGATATCGTTCCTTGAAATGGATTTCCACCAAGCTGCGTACAATTTGTATAATATTGATTCCAATTTACACACGATGAACTCGATGGTGTATTGTGACTATATGGCACCGCAGTAGCTATGAAATAGAAGAAAAGTATACATTGTGCATATTGTACAGATGCGAGGAGATAAAAATGTTAAATTTAAGAGTATGTGATTTTTTAATGTCTAGCATTAACGGATGAATGGATGATTACAGGGGCGTAGCCAGAAAATTTTTAAGGGGGGGGCCCATTTTCGAAAATTAAAAAAACCGTTATTTTGTATCCTTAAATCTATATTCATTCCTCATAAGTTTAAATATTTAATTCATTATTCATACATTAAATTTGATTTTTCGTGCTGATTTTGACATTTCTTTCATCACTTCCTCTACATTAACTGGTTCTTCTCTATAAATACTTAATAAAACAATTATCAGATTTTCGTAGGGGGGGCCCGGGCCCCCTATGGCCCCCCCCTGGCTACGCCCCTGGATGATTAGATAACTTTTTATGTATTTTGGATAGGCAGTAGGAGACGACGACAACGATGACTACACAAAAAAAAAACGATCTTTTTTCTCCATAAATAGAATCACAAATTTGATGTTTAATGAAGCGAATCATGGCGGCTGTAGAGCACTGCTGGATATATAGCACTGCTAAAACGACACATGGGGAGAGCCTAAATTTATGAACGTGATAAATCGCGCGCATATAACTACCTGCCGTGATATTATACTCAGACCTGTCATTCATAAAAACGTGACATCTTCACATACCAAAAATTATTTTCATGTACTGTGTAACCGACACATGCGGAAGACGAAACATAAAAAAATATAATTTTACTCTTGATGCTTAATGCTCCAAATTTTTTAGTACATTATTCGTTAACACTTCCACCCTGACAATTTTTTATATATTTTTTTTTGTCAATTGAATAACTTTTTCGTTGTTTTAGTCTTGCCAGCATGCCAACATGAATTTTTTTTATTCCCATTTCTGTTTAGAACGTGGATGCAAATAAAAATTGAAAAATCGGGAGGAATTTGGATGGGATTGAGATTGTGAGCGCTTTGAAGGTGTTGATTGAGTGAGTTAAATTTATGGCAATGGGAATTGTGGAATAACTGGAAAGGATTGTGAAAGAGTGAGAGGTTAGTTTTCTTAAGTACTAGCTTTATTTAATAAGTGCTGATTTTATAGTTCGTTTATTATTTTAGGGTAATTCAAACTAAGCATTAACGCGATTGTTAAAAAAATGGTCAGAGCTTACAAGTAATTTAAATCACCGTTTTTCCCGACTTTAGAGTAGTCCTTGATAGCTTAAAGGTAACATTATGAGATAAAAAATGTAAAAGAAGTTTAAGGTTGTGACTTCGAAATTATGTATGTCGTCGAATTTATTGTCAAATTTAGCATGTCGCTCTTATTTAAGTTTAAGAATCAATGTCATAGCTAGTTTAAATTCTTTCGCCAAATCGATTCCCCATTATTAAATGTTGGCACTCCTTCAATAAAGAACCTTTAAGTACTTCCGAAAAAATCACCAACTCAATAAACTCAAAAGAGGATCACGTCAAGCTAGTAAATTTCCTTTAATCCACCAACAAAAATCTTCCTTAACTGCTCTAATAGCATCACATCTCTAAGTGTGAAGTAGAAAAAAAATCCCCAAACCACATAACTTTACAGCAATTCCCAAAACTACATGTGATAATATCAATTTATTATAACGACATTCTTCCTAATATCCGGTCCAACTGCATGCGTAAGTTGTTTAAATTTACCGGAAATATAAACCTTGACATACGAAAAAAAGGCACAGTTTATTTCTACGGCAGTTGGAAATGTAGCATGCCAGAAATTTATGCTTAAAAAATTGAAATTCCCAGTGGTACAATTTATTGTCAAAAAGCATAGCTGTGAAAACAAGGAAATGAGAAAAAAAATCTTGTATGTCAGATTAGTTGGGTAAAAATGTGAAGTAAAAAGAAGAAGGAATGGAAAAAGGCATAAAAGGAAAATTTCCTCTCATTTTTTTCTGACTTCATCTGTACATCGATGCTGTGTATTTCGATCCTGTGACGTACGAGAATTTATTATAGTTCATTGACTATACCGTGAGATGGAACGAGAAGAAAAAATGAAAATTGCTTGGGAGTCATTCAATTATGAGGTATATTATGAAGAGAGGAAGGGTAGGCTGGTGGGCGGCTAGGGGAAGGCTTGGGGTCTGAGATAGTCTTGGTCCTAGAAGATTTTTATTAAATTCAAAATAAACCTTTTGTATGAAAATTTTATCACAAGAGATTGCTTTAAAAATCTATCTATTCCAATAGACATCATATCTGAATGTCCCCCATCTTGAATTCCTGCCCTTTTTTACATCACCGTAAATCCATTTAGCTTGAATATATGGATGATTAAATTGATAAATTGATTAGTATGTAACATAATTTAATGCCTTACTCCTGCTTCAGCTACTTTAATGGAATAAAATTGATTTTCAATTTTCAAGTGCTCGCTTTCTCACACTTCCGTTGCAATAAGCTTTTTACAAAAGTGATAGGAATAAGGATAGAAACTCTGGCACTTTTCACCTGTCGCACTCAATTTATTTTTTCATCTTAAATTATTATTTTTGCTTTAGAGTTCCTTCCTTCCTCTTTATTTCGTGATGCTTGTACAGATCAACGATAAAAAAGCAGCAGCATCAAAAGTTTCTTCTTATTGCCCTTGACCCAAGCACAGTGCAAATAAAATATCTTAAATGGGGATAAAATAGAAATTAAGATGATGTTTTGGATGTTAGCGCATTTTTCTAGGTCATTAGATTATTGAGGTGCTACAAATTAACTAAAGGTATTGTAGCAAATCGGAATTTGAGGTATGTAGTCTAAAATTGAAATCCCTCACATCACATAACTTTACAGCGGAACAAAGTGATAAAAGAGCTCCTACAGCCACCATTAAATTAGTTATCTCTCACCCATCAACATAAGAAAAAGGCAGAAAAGCATCTCCTTAAACGAAAAATTCCTTTGTCTTTTTGTGACATCAATTTAATTAAAATTGGCTAATGCGCAGTAATTTATCATGATGAATATGGAGAGAAAGCAGAAAACAACTTGTTGCTTAAAACATTCCAAATTAAAATTTATTATCATGATAATAGATTGTTTGTTTGTCTTAGAATACTTACTGTTACATACTAACGGTCCTATTCGATATGGTGGCAAATTTGAACATAAATGCATCCCAGAGTCCTCTGGCTTTGAACAAATGTAGTCTTGCTCCTTGGAAAATTCATAGTAAAATGATATGCTATAGAGAAAAAAAAAAGTATGGAAAAGAAGAAAATTTTCTTTTTTCAGGACGAAAAAAAATATTCTTTTGTTGATCGCATATACATTAATAGTCAATAGATTCATATCTTTTCATACGAAAGTTTTACTTTTATCTACAATTGTGAGTCTGTTGTGCTCTATACATCGATTGTACCTAAACTATTACACAAAAGCCATTCAACAGCCACTTTTGTTACACACACTTCAGCTTAGAACTATATTGATTCGTAAACAAGCTGACTTACGTGAATTCTACCGAATTTACCTGAAGTTTGCTGAATTTTGAATAGCTCGATGAACTTCTTTTGGATAACTGTGGAAAACTGAATTTTAATATTTTTGTTGAGGTCATTATTACATGCTGAATGAATTGTATTGAAATCAGCTTAATGAGCAAACACAATTAAGCTGAATTCAGCATCATTTGCTGAATTTTACACTGAATTGAGCTTATTCAGCAAACAGTGCTTAATTGATTTTCTTGAAGAAGCTGAATTCAGTGTTATTTGCTGAATAAGTCAAATTGAGCATTTTCTGCTTAGTAACAATATTTTAATAACAATAATGAACTTAACAATATCTGCTGAATTTAACAATATCTGCTTAATTCAATATTTGCTGAATAAACTTAATTCAATATCATTTGCTGAAAAAGCTGAACCCAGTACTTTTGCTAATTCAGCATTATCTGCTAAAAAAGCTGAATCCAGTACATGTTGCTGAATCCAAAATTATCTGCTGAATAAGCTGAATTCATAATATTTGCTGAATAAGCTGAATTCAATACTATTTGTTGAATAATCTGAATTCAGTACTATTTGCTGAATAAGCTGAATTCAGCATATTTAATTAAGTTATAGTGCCATTTTACATAATCTATATTTTTGTTAAAATGAACTAAAAAGCTGTTAAAAATTTCAGTTATACAATATTCCACAATATCAGCGTAAAATTCAGCCAAACCTCATTACGGTGCTTAAAATTCATATGAAAAGATATGAAAACATCGACGCAAAATTAGAAACAGACATATTTTTTTATCTCATATGTATATTTTACGGCAGTGAGCTTATGCAAAAAAGCTTTTCGAGAGCTTGTTGATAAGCCATTCTAAATTGACGTGAATAATAAAATAATGAATAATAATAATAATCTATAAAATATTCATAGTTATATCAACAATTCAATTAGAAAATTTTGACATTGTTAGACGACATAGTATTAGTATTATTAGAGTTAGAATAGATTATCATGAAAGGATATTTATTCATTAGTATATAGAGTAGAATGAAAGAGTAGTGAAGCAAGAAGAAATTAGAGAAATGAAGAAGGAAATGAAACGCTTTTAGACTTGATATAATAAAATACTTTTTTTCCTAGCGATATCTCAATTGATTTTTTTATGATTGACATTTATGATGTTTCATGACATATCGTAATGAAGTTCTCGGATGTCGATAAATAAAAATCCCTAAGTGCTCATATATTTTCCTTAAAACAAACAAACCCCGCCTCTCGTGTGCCTCTATTGAGGGATATAAAATTTTTTACTGTATTATTTTTGATCAATTTATTATTTTCGCATGCTTGCGGCACAAGCGAATATCATTTATAAATGTATATTGAAAATAAACAGTCAATGTTCAGACAATATGAAGTCTCATCACAATTTGCTTAAAGTGAAATTGTTTTTTCAAGTTTTTTATTATTCTTTATTTTTGCTGTTTTTTTTATCTCAAAGGGGAAACAACATGAAGAGGAAATATTTTGATGGAAATTTTTCATTAATTTTTTTAACGATTTCTCCAAATTCTCTCAAATTTTCAAATAAAATTATTTTTAGAGAGAACTAGTGAGAACTTAATAGAAATTCCATCTCAAAACGTATTCCCATCATGTTGTTATCCCCTTACTCCATCCTTTGTTGACAGTTTATCAATTATTAGAATTGATGCATGATGATATATTGATGATGATAGACGAAAGACATGTCGATAACATACCAAAATTGAAAGGATGTTGAAGGACAAATTAAGGCTCAATAATTTATGAGAAATTTGCCATTTTCTCAATGAATCAAATTTCATTTGAATTGAAATCAATTCTTAGAATTTCATATTATACAGTTAGCTTGTTGCTATAAATATACTCCGCATGTGATATTTCATTGATTTTATTAGAAGCTTTTTGCGTTTTTGGAAGTATAAATATATGTAGGTCATGAATAACTTATGCTCGTAAATAAATGAAGTTCAATACTGAAAGCTTGTACCTTTTAAAAAATTCAGGAGATATCAATTTTATCAGGAATAAGCTTAAATGCTTGAAAGAGCACTCAGTTGAGCGGAAATAAAGGATTTTGATCAGTTTTAAGAAATAAACTTAAAAAAAATCGATGCTCTTTGATAAGAGCTTGTTCTTCCTTAGTTTCAAATCTGGAACCTTTTGACTTGGCATCTTTAACTTGTTTCTAGTCACAAACCTTTAAATCGAGGTAATCTAAGGGTAATATTGGTACAAAACAAGCAGACCCCCCCCCCAAATCGTTACATTGTTTAAAATTCATCGTCATCCTGAATCAGTGTAATTTACTACACGTGAACGAGTTATTGATGCATGCGAAAATTTAATATTTCATGAATTTAATATTTCCATCCTTATTCTTACTTCCACCAAAAAAGGTAAAGCTCCCTCCCACCTTAATCCCCAAAAATCATCTACCGCATATGAATCATATCCCATATAATTTTTTTTAAAATAATCTGACAACCTTTAAAAAAGCATAAAACCTTTCTTCCCAATTTAAGAATATCGCATGCCATTGAGTCCCATGGGATCAAGTTTCGAGACTAAAAGTATCAAATACATTATCAGATCTGTTGAAAATTGGGGAATACAAACAATTCATTTATTTTTGAAACTTTTCCAAAGATGTTTATCGAAAAGTATAAAATATTTTATTGGTTCTTTGTGCTTCACAAAAAAAAGAATCACAAAAGAAAAATCCAGATTTTGAAACATTTTTTATTGATTTTATCTTCGGGTCGTTTATGAAATTGATGGTTAAGTTTTAAAAGACAGAGGGAGTTGTGTGGGGGGGGGGGGGGTGGGCTTATGGATTGAATATTGTATGGAAGCCACCTTAGCCATATTCGAGTTACCAACCATTGGAGGAAGTTAAATAGATCCGGACCATCATTTATGAATGAACCCCTTTACCAATCCTCAATATTCTAAACTTTTTCATATCTTTTCCATTTTATTTTTTTGAATGGAGATTACACATACACATGTTTCCCTTTATAAATGGCTCATTGTGGCTGAATCTCTTTTTTTACACAACAGAACGGAGGAGAAAATATTGAATTTATCTTATTCAATATAAACAATATTATTATATTATGTATGTGGATGATACAGTAACAGAAAGAGAGACAAAAGCGATATAATAAAATAATAATGAAATTGAATCAAGCAATTCTGTTCTATGAAATATCTTTACGTATGTTGGCAAAGTTTTTCTTTGTCATATTTTCTCATTTCATCGTTTTTATTTCATTATTATCAAAAGGAGTTATTTTGTGGTAGCTTTAAGATACACTGGAGGAACTTACGTTAAAGCTTATGTTGATTAAGTTTGGTTTAATAAAAGAAGTTTCATTAGATGAACAAGATTTGGTGGGTTAAAGGATGTTAATGGGTTAGGATTCTCTGTTATAGTTAAACAATTGACTGTAAGGCTGGTGTCTAGGGCTATCATGATCATCCTTTGAACTTAAAATTAGAAATCGATGTGCCACACTTTGGAGTTCAACAATGACTAACGTAGGTTCCCCACATTCCCGTAAAGGAAGTTGTGGGATTGGTGTTAAGGATTTGAACCCAAAATCTAACCTAAATGTCACTATGAATTGCTTGAACATTGAACTCAGGACACCTTTCCCTACATTTAATTAGTCTACTATTAAACTAGCACAAATTTGAAAACGAAAGATTATAAAATTCTGAATATCTACTTTAACTTCAAAATTAATTCCCAAACATTTGAAATAGCATAAAAAATTATTTTTTTTCTCAGAAATTCTTCAAACTTCGTCTTAAGTACCTTCTTATATAATCGACAAAAAAGTAAAAAAGTTCTTCTGAGGAACTTTATCATAAACATCAAAAAAAAAATCCAGAATATAATCCCAGGCACCTAAATTCATCATCATTTCGTTTCTAAGAAACGAATCAAAAAACTTTTTCATATAAATATTTGAGTTTATATTTTTATATTGCTCTCCATAACGATATGTCATGATATACAAAAAATTTTTCAAATGTCAACAATCTAACGATTCAATTCTCTTTCATATTTTAAGATTACTCTCTCACGTATATCCTCTTTCTCTTCGGTTCTTTCATCACCCACCCAACACATAAGCCTCAGCCGAAAATCATATATGTGGGTCTATGAAAGAGAGAAAATTATATTATCCAACAAATCCGGGTTAATAACGGAAGGTATACGATGCTTTTTTTTATAGCAACAAATATACACAATCATGTTGGCAGTTTAGAAGATGACGAAAGGAACAAAAGCCAAAAATTACAGCAGAAATGAATTTTAATAAAAAATTTAAGAAGAAGCAACAACACGAGCCTAAGTTGTATTGATTCTAACTGAATTATCGATTTTTGGGTATCCTCAATTGGGTAATTTTATAAAATCACGAGCTGGCTTATTAAATCACGAAGTGAAAATTGAATAAATTTTGATCAATTTAAGAAGAAGATTTCTCACTGGATTCCTCTGAAAAAAAAGTTTATTGGGTGAGGAACATTAGAGATAAAAGGAATGAGAAGTTAAGTACGAAAAAAGTACCCATCATCAGACTGAAAGAATATGCTTTGGGGTTGGCCGTGGGATTTGGGATATTATTTTTGAAGATTGAAAGAAGTTTTTGATCACAACTTGAGCTTTTTGAAGGAAAGCTTTAACTTTTGATCAAATCTGAGCTCTTTGCAAAAAAACTTACAATTTTGGATGAACTAAGTTTTTTGAACGAAACCTTACAATTTTGAACAATCTGAGTTTTTTG